AACCGCCGTTTTTCGTAACAAAGAAACCGATGACTGAATATCATCTTCGGGTAAGGGTGGTAGCTCGCATGGTGGAGCTTTGTATGAAGTGATGGAGGCTGGTAGACAGCTGTTGAACTCTGACGATGTTCCGACCCAATCCAGACTACTGATGTCGCCCGACCGAGCCACGATCTCCTGCAGGAGCCGCCCGAGAGCCTTGTTCTGCTTCTCACCATAATCTATAGGCAGGCGGACGCCAAGAACGCCAAACAACGAGTATGCGATGTCTTCCTGACGCGTGGTAACGCGGGTTGACGCCCAATGAAGCTTTTCTCGCACGTTGTGCATACTGGGACGGAAGGCCACAACGGCCGGTCGGTCTATGCCCATCGCGTCCTTCATCTCCTGCATGATTGCGATAGAATCCTTGTGGTTGGGAGTACGATCATTACGATAAAGAGTCCAATTGTTCTGATAAAAGAGAATGACTTTGGGAGCAACGAATTCCTGAGCCGTCCATCCGCGCGTGTTCCAAGCGCTCCTTGTCAGTCCGCCAGACTTTGACGAAGGCGGAACATCAGACAGGTAGACGATTGTGAGCGCGGAATGATGATACCATGCGAACATGGAGTTGACCGATTCTTGGACTTCGACGTTGTTGCTCTTGTCGATGCAGCATGTATCGCTCCATGCCCAGTTATACCCCGCGTCGCGAGCAGTTTTGCAGAAGGACCGCAGCTTCGTCATGCCGCCAACTGGGTCCAACTCCGAGTCGTGCACGCACTTGCTATGGATATCCTGCAGCAGCGGCTCCTTCCCTTCCCACCTATGTGATAGCATGACATATTTTAGGTATCCCTTCACCACTTCTTCGATGTGCTCGATGTGCAAGTCTACATGCGTGATTGTTGATGACACAAGCGCCTTATACTGCGTGCTCATTTTGAAAGTGTCTATCTGCATCTCTCGATTACACAAGAGACCAGTGGTGGTGTCGAGTGAACGCAGCGGAACGTTGTCGAGTTGGGCATCAATGACCTGTCGAATGACGCGTTCTACTTCAGAAGGTCTGAGATACTGTTGGCGCAGGTCTGGAGAATGAGTTAAACATGTCGACGAATGGGTTATCGGTGACTTACTTCGTGTCTGAACATCAGGTGCATTGTCCAATATCGAGAGCATCGTTTGGAAGGTTTCAATCGCTTCATCATAGCGCTCCGCACCATGAAGCGCCGCGTGCTTCAAATTGTATCCAAGATAAGACAAAGAGTCGAGTTCGATTACCTGTATATCGCTACAATGAGCATTGGTTGTGGGACAATAGTTCCCATCTCACCTTCTGCGCATCGAGAAGTGCGTCCATCCATAGCATTTTGCCCAACTTTGCCTTGCTACGATTTGCAAAGACAACATCAGATGCAGAGTTTGAGTTGATTACCACCGAGTATATGTCAATAGCTCTGTCATAATCGCTGGCAGCGAGGGCGGCATTTCCGTTGGCAGCATAGAGCAAGCTACATTGTTGCTTGAATTCTGAGTCAAATGCAGGTGAGTATGATGGCCTCGGGTGACATCACTGAAACTCGCCATTGGACCAATCGAGGCAGCTGGCCTTCGCAATCTCGTCGATGGCATCCATCATGTATTTGTGTGCTTCGAGGGCTTCATCGTGTTTACCTGCCGAAAGGAATGCCTGGCACCGTTGCTGGTGTGTCGTAAGCAACAAGGACTCGAGATCCCAGCCGAAGAGCTGGACAAAGCACTAGGTTACAAAAAGCATTGTGTATGCATTATCTTGACGCACCATGGTCAAGTCCTCATATGTCAAATGAATGTATTTTGACGAGAATGCATTAGAGTTGACAGCAGCAGTGAAATGATCAGCGGCCTCGTCGTAATGCGCACCATCCAAGGCTGTGATTCCGAGACGAACACGTAAATATGTCTAATGTGCGAGCGACGAAGGTCGGTATTGAGGACCAAGCGTAGCCTATGACACTCACCTCCACAACACGAGGCGCAAGAGGATCGACATTTGGACAAGCGGCAACTAGGTCTTTGATGAGCAGCATTGCTTCCTCGTGTTGATCTGCGTTGAAGAGTGCGATGGCCTGGAATACCGGATGAAGCGGATAGCATGGGAGACGAATTAAATGTACCTTGATCAAGAGAAGAAATTGGTTGGTTTCTGAATTTTGGTTCGTGAACATGGATGCAACGTCGAATGCTACCCTTGCTTCCCGGATGTGACCTTTTCCGCAGAAGGCGATGCCTTTGGAGATAAAGCCAATCAATGATGGTCTAACTGTTGAGTGACTAGTATGTCACGGACAAAAGTTAGCATGTCATAAGAGGACAATGATGGGTGGGTCTCACCTTAATTGCATCATCAAGGGCGTTGTCCCAGTTGTGCTGCCGGGAGATAACGAATGAACGATTGGCATATGAAGTAAAGTCGTCGGCGTTGGTGTGTATTTCTTGGGTGAGGAGCTCTTCAGCGATAGACAAGTCCCCAGTCAGACATGCATCGCGGGCTGTTGTGATGTCAAGGATCTGCACGAAGGATGCTCGAATTGCATGATGAGAGTCAAAAATGGAAACTCGCCTTTGAATTGACGTCGCTGGGTACTGCCCATTGTGAGATCTTGTTATCATGACCTCCGCTGAGGATGTGGTTGCCGTCCACAGAGAACGTGATAACTTCCGCGTAGGATGAAGGCTGGAAGATGGCAATGGTTCGGCGATCTGAGAGCCGCCAGAGATGGACATGCTTGTCATGAGATGCAGAAGCGACGAGGATGCCAGCGGGATGAATGGCAATGGCGTTGATAGTGTTAGTGTGGCCTTCCCAGCGATGACCAATCTGCTGCCAGGTTGATGTGTCCCACTCCAATATGTAATCACCGCCTCCTGACAGAAGGCGTTTGCCATCGGGCGTCCACGCGAGTGACATCCGAGTCCTCCATATTGTTGTGTGGCCTGTGAAAGATGCGACTTCTTCCCTTGTACCTGGGTTATAAATTTGGATATTCTGGTCTGTCGCGATGGCAAGAAGTTCACCAGAAGGCGAATATCGAACGCAGAGGACAATATGACCACACTCGATTGGTTCTCCTTGCATCTGCCACGTTTTGGTACACCAAAACTTCACCGTGTAGTCCCATGAACCAGTTGCCAGTACCATACCATCCGGAGCAAAATCCACCGATGTGATCTGATTTGAGTGGGCTTTGATGGGTTGGGTGATGGATTCGCCAGTTTCACCGTGCCAGGCGATGACGTCTCCTTTCCAATCAGCGCTTGCTATTATTTTACCATTTCGCGATCTCGTCAATGTCCACACCGCACTGCCATGCCCTTCCATCTTCTTCAACACAACGCCTGTCTCCAAGTCCCAAAGACGAAGTGTATTATCGTCCGAACCCGTAATCATTCGTCGTTTATCAGGGAACACTGCGACTGCCCTTACGGCGTCCTCATGATCTTCAAAAGCTCGAATGGGTGTGGTGCTTGGAATGAGCTCTGACATTTTACTGGAGGTTGATGGTGTTGAGCACGGCCGAGGGACTGTAGGTGTCTTTCTCTGAAGGTGCGTGTATTGTGCGTTTTTATGTTGCTTCACCACGCTAACCATCCTCATTTCCATAGACACAGACACGAGGCAGTTCGGTATCACCCATCTGCATCAGTGGTCATCCGCGCTTGGCCACCTCCATCTAATGAGTCGAGTCGCTTCGTCACACCACGACTGTACCCTGCGGCTAGCTAGTATGGACATCGTAGAACCAAGAGTGCCAACGAAACCAGCTCCATGATATCATCAATGAACACCGGATGCCTGGTAACAAGGCACTAGGAAAATGCTGCGCCACTGCCGCGACGCTCCAAACTTGATCGGTATGCTGCCACGGCTGTCTAGTTTCTCAGATGCATACGAAAATTCACCACTGAAGTATGCATTATAATGCGAGTCTGCAATCTGATGCACAAGATAATTACTGAAAGACCATGTATTATACAACTTGAGTTCATTATGTTACGAACACAATGACAATCGTGACCATGCCTTGTCGTCCCTTAACAGTTACGCCAAAAGGCAGTGATAAACAAAGCAGACTTTGTTTATCGCGGACAGTATTTATGCTGACCTCCATCACGGTGTTAGTTCACAAACCTTTAAAGCTCAGATGGCTGTCAAAGGGCAAAGACAACTTGAAAGCCTCAGGGAAGGGAAGGGAAACAGAAACGAAATTGTTATTGACTCAGACTACTAAGCCTCGTACATACAATTTCGAAAAATATGACCCGCAGGTGATCCGTACCACCTGCGGGTTAGACCACGGGTTGACCCATCGTAGTGGGGAGCACAGCACAAGAGTCATGCGAAAGTGAGCAGCGTCAGGATGGAGCAGGCTAGGACGAGTTAGGCGCGTAGAGGTAGACAGAGGCCATGCACGTGACAGCAGTCAGGGTCGTAGAGGTTCGGGGTCCGAGGAGGACACATTGTAGATACGCAGACATCCTCAGACATCCTCCTTCCTCTCTAGACAGCAAGGCTAGCGGGTATACCATACCCGCGATGCTCTGACCTGGGTCGACCTATCATGATGTCGAACGTTTCTCGAATGGGTAACTCGAAACGAAAACCAAAAGAATCCTCGATCAAAACGGAACTGCCTGTGTGCGAAAAAAATCATTAAAGGGCATTCCGGGCAGCTGTACAAGGTAAGCAGTAACGTCGTATACCTCATAAAGATTCTGCTATATCTAATTCAAAGATACCCCGATCAGCGCTCAGCGCTCAGCTACCGCAGCATCATGATAGCGGCATTTGCAGAGTTGCCATTTACATCACTGGTACTACCACGTACAAGATTCGTATCTCAATCAACCTGAGCAATGGGCGCGATTGATTTCTATTTATTCTACCATGAATACTCTCTTGAGGATTGTGGACTTGCACCCCCTGTTTCATCACACACTCCTCTACATTTCCACCATTGCTAAGTTATTTCGCAATGCCTGTGCCGCTCGTATGCCACTCTGAAGTCGACGTTCTCATCATTGGTGCTGGCCCTGCTGGCCTCACGTGCGCGAATGCCCTCGCAAATGCGAGAGTGAATGTCCGCATCGTCGACCAAAGGTCAGTGGATCGACCCTTTCATTCCTACTTTTAACTCATTTCTCCATTAGGGCCTTCAAAATAACTACTGGCTATGGTGACGGATTTGCACCTCGCACTGTTGAAGTTTTGCAGGTAAAAATGCTTCCTTGCTGATTGACTAAAACTCGGTATCAACAAGACATAGAGTTATGGACTTGCAGAGCGCCTTCTAAAAGAGTCTTGCCATATCCATCTAACAGTACGCCTTTCAGATGAGCTTACAGGATATGTGACTCATTGCATCTTAGGCTTTCTATAACCCTTCTTCGACCGGCGGTATCGAAGTTCGTAAATTCCCGCATCAATGAAGGATATTCACCGAATTTCCACCATCAGCTTACTAACAAAATAACAAATGTGACAGCTACGTCTGCAAGATACCCATTTGAGGTGTGTTAATAAGTAAATTGGACAGAAATTATATCAGCTAAATGAGATCGAGGCTGCGCTCCATCAAGGAGCCATTCAAGATATTTTCATAGATTCCATGGCACCACTCGGCGTTGAGGTTGATCGATCGACGATACCAATTTCGATAGAGCTCTCCAAGGATGAAAGCGAGTTGACGGATCCTACATCATATCCAGTTCGCGTTACGCTCCAAAAACTAGACAAATCTGAAGATGAACCACGAGAAGAGATTATTCACGCTAAATTTGTTGTCGGTGGTGATGGTGCGTTTCAAGGATGTCAATATAGCCAATATAATCATTTACATTGACAGGCGCTCACTCATGGACCCGCAAACAATTCGATATTGCGATGGATGGAGAACAATCTGGTGAGAATGGTGATCACTTGGAATTCTCAGCAAGCTCAGTCTCGATCGTTAGATTCCACCTGGGGTGTCGTGGACCTTACTGCTGACACTGATCTCCCGGATATCAGAAATAAGACCTATGTACATTCTAACCATGGCTCACTTATTTGCCTTCCCCGAGAAAAGGATCGTATTCGCATATATGTACAACTGGAGGTTAATGATGTCATCGATCCAGTGACAGGCAGAGTAGCCAAGGAGAAAATACGTCCAGAGCAAATTCTTAAAGTAAGCGGCATCCACTATATGGTCAGCAGTCATTGACGTCCCCCTTAGACTGCCCAGAAGTCGCTTGAACCTTACAAGGTTATCCAGAAGGGCGAATTTTTGTGGTGGACGATATATAGCGGTACGCATCTTACTACTTGCTACGAATTCGTGTTCGTTTGACATTTTCACTCAAGTTGGACAACGAGTGGCCTCACGGTTTTCCATCGAAAATCGAGTATTTATCGCTGGCGATGCTTGCCACACTCACTCTCCAAAAGCGGGTAAGCATCCTAATTCTTAGCCTCCTCCTCTGGTCTGGTTACAATAGAGCTTCTAGGACAAGGGATGAACGCAAGTATCAACGACAGCCATAATCTAGGTATGTCTTCTGCTCCTGTTGTCATGATCGAGTTAAATCTCCTTGTCAGCTTGGAAACTTTCCTTAGTTGTTCGTGGATGGGCAGACATGTCCCTTTTGTCAACGGCAAGCTCTTGTGCAGCTCTTTGACTCCTTTCTCACGCCCGACCGATAGTATGAATCAGAGCGTCGTAAATTCGCATTAGACCTGATTGCGTTTGATAAAATGTGGGCCGCCCTTGTCTGTAGCAAGCCCTTGACTGTGCCGAGCAGCAATGGGATTTCGCCCGAACATTTCTTGAAGTAATATTATGCTACCAACAGTCTTTTCCTGTTACTAATCCCATGAGGTTGTAGGACTTACCAAACAGACTTCACCAGTGGCATTGGGATACATTATCAGCCTTCAGTTGCAGTAAACGACAGGAATCAGGAGTTGGCCGTCGGCCTCGTCCTCGGCAAACGTGTACCTCCGCACAAACTCATGCGGGCAGCAGACACATGTCCATTCGAGCTCCAGGACCTTCTTCCTTCGGACTTTCTCTTCAAGTTACTTGTTTTTACCGGCGATTTCAGCGATCCGCTTCAGCAAGCGAGGGTCGAGTCGATGGTCACGGACATGCAGAAACCTGAGAGCTTCCTGAATCGTTACTCGACGCCTGAGAATTCACGATTCGATGTCATCACGATCAGCAAAGGCCAGAAGTACACATTTGATTTCCTGCGGCTCCCTACGCTCCTTCGCTCTCATTGGTCAAAGTGAGTGCCTGCTCATCCGTATCAAGTGCGATAATGTTGATCGAGGTGCTCTTATGTAGGGTGTTTATCGATGACACCGATGCCACTGGTAGCTTTGGAGGAGGAGGTTACTCGTATTATGGAGTGGGATCTGAGGGGGCGCTGGTTGCTGTTCGTCCTGATGGCTATGTTGGAGCCATCGCGCCACTGGATCGCGTTGAGGATCTTGATGCGTATTTTGCGTCTTTCATGAGAATTGCCGCTTAGGCTTAACGACAATTCTTGTTCAAATGCTGCTTCGCTGTTTCAACACAGTACTGGTTCCTAAGATATAATTCTTCCTGTCCACATCCTCAAACCAGACTTATTCACGCGTGCACTCTATGATATAACGCACTATTCTTTGCTCTTTCTAGAGATGAATCGCCGACGCAGAGGCGATGGCAATTCACACCTTTGGAAGCGAGGATCGCATCTTAAAACTGAGCTTGCTTGAACAGTCGACGAGTAAGAACTATTTCTACTGACTTGATAATAAATTTCGGGAAGTGAAACCAGGCAGAGTCAAGGTCGTCTCGTACATGCACCTCCGCTGGCATGCGCATAAAAATGGTCAGAGTCAATTTGTATGTGATGCACAGAACCTGGCCATGTCGTGGTAATGTATTGGGATCGGAGACACTGCCATGGACTAAGGAAGCAAAATGAGAATGAGTCACAGATGATAGAGGGGTAGGATGGTATCAAGGCTAGCTTGCAATAGTAGGAATATCCTACACATAAGTCACAGTCTGCGTAGCCCAAACATAGTAGTCTAAGATGACACCCCGGGAAAACAATCAGCTTTGCCAGCTCTACCGGCTGCAACCGGCAAAATTGACCCTGAGTAGTTCTGCCATCTACTCAAGTCTGGAGACCCGCGTATATGTCATGTATGTATCTGCCCATTGCCACGTCTGTATTCCTTGTGAAAAGAACACATTTTGATGACCAATGTCAGAGTCTAATTTTGTTTCCTGATGTACATTAAAAACATTATATCTGAGGAGCGTACCCCCTTTTGCAATTGGGATCATCGTGTCCTTGGGTTCTTCCACTGCTCGATAGCATAGTACCAAGGACAATGCAAATCAGATCGAAGGTCTGTCGGCAATCTGCTGGCATTGCAAATATCAGGCGGATGTAAGGTGGATAGGGTCTGCGCAGAATCACGTATTCACATCATAAAAACTAGCCGTCTTCCTACTGTCTCCCTTTAAATTGATTTTTGAGATCCCATATCACATCTCACATATAATGCATTTCTCCTTCCGAGTCATCCTCACCGTTGTTGCTGCTTTGACGGTGTCTATGGCTGTCAGCGCTCAATGCCAACAAATTGGCACTACTTGCGGCGGAAATCAAAATTGCTGTGATGGCGCTAAATGCGTAGCAATCTTACATCGATTCGTCGATGGTGAGGTGAGTATGAGCAGTTTCATCCACAATTTATTGACTCACCGGTATGGTAGCCTTTCTACATATATGAGTGTTACCCCTGAGCAGTGAGATCGAATGAGTCATGTCTGCTTTCGCATTGGTGTAGTGCGGTTGATGGCACCGCATGTAAGTAGTTCGTTGTTCAATGCGGAGTTTTTCTGAGCAAATTTTACTGCTGCTTGAACAGTGAAGACCTTGGAGCAGAGGGACATCTCGAGCACTCGAGTGCGTGATATATGACTCAAGTACTTACGGTTGTACCCCCATTGTGAACTTGTAGAATACTTCGTCAGCTCCCGAACGATTGCAGTTGTGAACTGGGTTCCTGGTGCCAAACCCAATCAAGGTAAGTCACCGACAGAGACTCGACATCGAGAGAGGCTCTGCTAATGAAGTGGACAATTTCGACTTGTGCCAGTTAGTCATATGCAACGAAAGATACGGAGAAGCATATTCTTAGAGTTTGAAGGCCCGCCAACTTGCCATATACACGTTGTAAAAGTCCAAGTTGTCTAGCAGAATGATAAGCTGCGCAGTATCCAGAAAATAACATCACACCTAGCGAGTACTCTTCTCTAGAATTTGGACTGAGCCTCAGCTGCCGATCTCCCGAAATCCGAATTCGCATTCCCCGATGCACGAGGAGACTCCGAAGTTCTCTCAGCATCCATGAGACGCCTGAACTCAGCTTCGGGGATCTTCGTGTCGCAAAACGTAGGCCGGTACAACAACGCATTGGTCCAGCAACCGGCAATAGAATATCAGGGACCTGAGAGCAAGTCATATCCGAGGTTCATTGGACTCTGCTGGCATTGCACATGCACAATAGTAGTGCTTAGCAGGACGTACAAATAAACCGTCTCTCTTAGCTCTACCGATCCCCTGCCTTCGGTCCTCCTCGGAATCCATCATTTCGAGATTACATGTTACAGATAATGTGTCGCCCCTCCATCCTGAGAACGAAGGGTTGACTCGAAAGTCTCCACAAGGTTGTTGGCTGGAAGAAGTCGACAGTCTTATTATGGAGGATGTACGAATCCGAAGGTGTGGGAGACGAAGAGACAATGGCAAATGCCGGGCGGTAACCTCTGATGACCATCATGCTACATCTGTAAACTACAAATTTCCCCACAGACATCGACATTTTTGACAGTTTCCCACAGTAACCCACAGAGGGACAGCGCTCACAGCACATTTCTCCGGGGCATCAAATTTTTTCGACAGTAACCTACAGTAACCCACAGCAGGACAGCACTCACAGCACATTTCTCCCGGGCATTGAATTTTTTTCAACAGTAACCCACAGAGAGACAGAGCTCACAGGATGTACAGCCTCACAGTGTTTGTCAGTAAAATAGCTACCTCAAGCGCCAGTA